CCATGTGCTTCACGTGAGAGGAGCGAGCGCTCGACAACCATAGATTCATGCCCACGTGATGTCTCTCTAACCACATTACCAACACACCATTCCTGCATGCATCGACTGAATCACAACAACGGCCACAACAATACGTCATACTTGACAATCCCATCACGACATTCCAATCGGTGATGACACACCCACAAACGCACAAGCGCTTATTATTCACACACTACAAGAGCACGAAACAACTCGTCAGAACATTTGGCTCTATTTCATATGCACCACTCAGTGCACTGGCATGCAAATCATCAACTCGATATTGGACACTGCTGAATACGAGCTTGCCACTAACATCTGGGATGAAGAATCATCCGACCTTGCAACCTAGCGACAATGATCTGTCTGTATAATCGCATCAAAGGTTGCGCTGCTCGTAACCGCCTCACCTGGCTGCATCAAGTGCTACGCGGCACATGTTCGGCTCGAAACCACATGTCGGAATGCATCCAGATGATGGTGCGCGCTCCGGGCTTGTAAAGCAAATAGTTAGATGCGCCTCATAAGTCATGTACATCGCCGAGTGGTTTCTTCTCGTTTTGATCATACTGTCAAGTATGACAGCAAGAAGAACCAAGACTTGACGCGGTGCGAATCATTCGGTTGGGCATCTTTGACTGCAGGTTATCGACACATCGTCAGAGCAGGACAACAAAACAGGGACTGCCAACCAAAGATGTGGTGGAAAAGTGTGACTCAAGGTCAGCTGGTGACGCAGTTGAAGTGCAAAGTGCACATTTGGGAATGTGCTGATGCTGACTGGTTTAGATTTGCTGGATACTTTAGAACGACGGCGGCCAATCATCTGTGAAGATATTAATCTGGACTTTCGGTCAATGCGCGGATAAATTGAGCACAAGGCTTCGAGTTGTCTGCGTTGCGAGGAAGAGCTCTAATTTAGCCTCTGTCGTGAGATTTCCACGATGTAATCCACTTAAAGCACGATTAAAACTAGAGTGCGAACCAGATGGATAGTGAAGCATTACACAGACCAGAAGGGTATGAGTTGAAACCGAGGGAAGATCACCTAGAATTGGAAGTGATCAACCGACTTCCAGAACTTTTATTCCCCAAAGACGAGAATCGTACGGCTAGAATATTCGCGGTGACATGATCAAGGCCACCCATCAAATATCCGGAGAACGATACAAGGAGGGGTTGTACCACAGCTGCGAGTGGAACGTATCCGAAGGGCTCATGAGGAGGAGATCTGGATAATGGATCCAAAGACGTATTTGAAAGGTAACCTAGGCGGCCAATCGGCAGCATCAGCACAGTCAGGCAGCAAAATGGCCAGAGATTATGAGGTCAGCTTAAAAGGATTACTGGTATACTGTTGTGGTGAAGTCGATCTCACAAAATTGCTTGTATGAGTGTCGATCTTCCACTTGCCCAGACTTGCCGACTCACGGAGGGGGTACTCCGATCCGTGCCTTGTTGTATGACCTTGTGCTCACCTTGTGTACCCGTCGGTTGGGCTGGCTTGAGCTCTTCGTAACGGCCTTGGGAGATGTCGATCTCGCTGAGAGGTTGGGTTGAGGGTTCGCTTCTGGTGCGGAAATCTTCACACCACGAACGGGTGTTCTGCGATCCCGATCTTGGATCGCACCGATCTTGATTTGTCTTCGAGATCGGGGTCTTTTCTGTGCGGAAATCTTCACTCAGCAAATAAAAGTCCTGCGTCGATCTTGCCTTGGGATCGGTCCGATCTGGTCTTGGGATCGGCCGATCTTGCCGGAAGTGCGCAATTTGGGTAGATCGGTGTCTTGTTTTGCCAAAATGAAACGTGCCCATCTGTCCAGGGGATCGCTTCGATCCTGCTCGGTCTTGTCTTGAACGCCTTGTCCAGATCTTCTGACCACTTGAGCCGTCTCGCGATCCTGTGTCCAAAATCCTTTTCCTTTTCCGTTGTGTGCTGCTACCCTAGCAGTTGAGTTGAGTGTGAGTACTTGATCGATCCGGGCCAGATATCCCGGAATCGCTCTTCTCGATCTTGGCCAACAATCCAAGATCGGTCTTCTGTGTCCCTGTAACACGCGTGCCTTAACACGCCAGGGAATCCAAATCAATCTTGCCTGGAGAAGAGGGGAGGATAACGTGCGTCGTGAGCAGAAGAAGTAGAGTTCAAGTCTGTTTATTAACCAACCAAATTACTACCCAACCTACCCTTAAGCCTATTCTTAACTATAGGTCACTCTTCAAACCGATATCGCCTTGAATCTGGTTCGCCCCCTTGCCACGTGTCGAAATTTCGTGCCCTGTACTCCAATGATAGCGCCAATATCCCCGATATCGTACCTAGAGCACCAAATGGACCAAAATCTCCTATATGGTACCAAATACCCATTCTTGGCACCCAAGTACCCAATATATGACCCAAAATGCTGAATGTGTCCAAATTCACTTTGCGAAGTCAATTCGGACAGCTTCCACTGGCTCTTTCGACATGAAACTTCTTGACATCACTTAGTGACCTCTATCAAATATATCCCACATGATCCAGTATCTTCATCAACCATATATTCATGATTAGTGTGGAACCTGACCGATCTGTCATCCAATATCGAGATGTTGGAGGTCGATCCGGTCTAAATCGGCAATTAACACTTTTTCACCTCCTCATACGTGCTTCAATATCATCCCCCAGTGTTATCCAATCGACAAATTCATTCATACGTCTCGACATCGGTTTCCTTGACTCCCCTGAGTATGCAAAACTTCCAGATCGGTGTATAATTAACCAAAATCAGTACTCCCAATTTAGGATCGGTAAATAGTATCACCGATCCGTATGGTGTTGCACCTTCTTTGCCGATTCACCGACCCGTACCACCTGGTCCCAGATGCACTTTGGGGAGTCACCTTGTCCCAGATGTGTCAATTCTCCAACAAACCGTTGCTACAACATGTCGATCTGCAATCTGATCTTAGCCTGCTTCAATGTACGTATACTTCTTCTTGACCGGCATTCCAATGAGCTGTATGACTTCATCCCGATGTCTGGTTCCAGATCGCCCCATAACATTCTGCAAGATGTTACACCTTCGTCGCAGAGTCATATCCTATCACCCGGTCCCAGATCCTTGTCCCAGATTGTTCCATGTAAATCGTTCCAGATCGCTCCGTCCCAGGTCGATCCATACCCATTAGTCTAACGACAGTTGGATCAGTTCGCCGATCCCGTTAAGATCATCTTCCACCTCCGTATTGGATCGCCGAGTCTCATGGCCTCCTTTTCCACCAGTAAGCGGCGCTTTAACGGTGTGGCCACCGATCCTCGTACAAAATTTGAGTAGTGACTTTGCCACAACCGCCCCCTGTACTGAAGTCTTTTGTACAGCAATTGACCTCAGTACAGTCACTCATCAACTTCGTTCCAAGCACTCAAGTCCGTCTCATGGCCTCTCCGACGCATCCACCCACCTCGCTGATCTCATCAGAAGGATCCACCATGTTTCTGTCTCCGGATCGCGACCTGTCGCCCGGATCGCCAGATCTCGGAGGACACACCCCAGCGGTCCCCGATCGGCCTGGGTCTACGCGCCAGCTAGGCACAACCGGATCGCCCACAATCCCCACAGGATCGCCATATCGACAGCCGACCAGACCCTCGTCTCCATCCCGAGACTCGCCATCTAGATCGCCAGATCGCGGGTGGTATGCTCCTATCGTCCCAGATCAACATGAGTCTCTCAGTAATCCTAGATCGGTCGGATCACTCTCGACCGCCGCGGAATTATCAGATCGTTCCTCCGAGCCACTCCCGCTTCCCACTCCTCCGGCGGCCCCAGACGCGTCCAGATCCGACATCCCGGCCTCTAATGAACCTCGTGAAAAGTCTGCTCCGGCTGTGGGCGTCACCGGCTTCGTTTCCAGAGTTTCTGCCGACGACGTTCGTCTCACGATGGCCACGATCTCGTATTTGTGGGATCGAGAGGCTACCTTCTGCAGCCAAGCCGACACCATTCATACGCTCCAGCAATCCTACCGAGATGCCGTCGCCCGGGGGAATCGCTTACAAGACGAGCTTGATTCGCTGTACAGATCAGCCGCTCCTTTTGTCTCCTTCGTCCAGCGTCGATATGACTGGATGCAGGGCCGCTACGTCGACGCAGTGCATTCTTTGAGTGATTGCCATCGAGCTCTGCGGACATATCGAGATCAATCGGAGGAGATTCGTCGGCTACGCACTTTGATACGTGCCAACGACGAGACTCAGGGGAACTTGGAACGACAGGTGGATGCTTTGAGGGCTCAACTTCATTCGCTCCAAGCCGAACTAAATTCTCTCCGACAGCAGCGTGATCAGCTGACCATGGACAGGTCCTTCCTTCACATAGATATTTTGCACTTGAAGGAGCAATTGGCTCAGTCTCAGGAGGAGATCGCAGATGGACTGTCTTCGATCAGCGATCTCATACAACAAGTGGATGGTTTGACTCCCCTAGAGGGTCAGTTGGCGCTTTCGCAGGCGGAGAACGCCAACCTACGTCGTCAGCTTGCGGAACACCTCTAGGTACACGACTAGTTGCAGGTGGTGGAGCACGATCGGGATCGGGCTATAGCTGAACACCGTGCTCTCCTCGACACACTGAACAGTGCTATACTCGGATCCCGGTCGTCTGCGTTGATCGCTCGGTCGACGCCTAAGAGTGCTACTCCGGCCGGATCGCCCCCTGTTCCCACTACCCCGGGATCGAGATCGCTTGCCCGTAGGTCCAGATCGGGACCGTCCGGCCCGCCTGCCAAGCGTCGGCGTATTCAACCAAGGTCACAATCCAGTGATTCTTCCACCGCCCGTGTGGCTTCCCGGCTATTGTCGTTGAACCCTTCAATACCTTTGAACAAACTTCCCGGATTGGCCCCACCCGAGCCTCCACCCAATTCTTCTTGTTCTCCGCTTTCGTCCGCGGCTTCTGGGACTGGATCGGGAAGTGAGGAGCTGACCGAGTCGGATTCTAGCTCGGATGATTTGACTCGTGCTGCATTATCCCAATCGAGATCGGCCGCTCGTCGTCAACCTTGATCGGATACCCGATCTTCGACCCCGAACCCCTCTCCGGCCGCTCGGGTTGTTCCCGCTTCTCCCGCAGCTACTGCGTTGGCTCAAGCACTGTTGCGTTCGCCTTCTCCAGACGTTCCAAAGCCTCGTTATCTTTCGTACCCATCCACTCCGGTCGCGGCTGTCCCCGTAGTCGAAATTCAAGATAATGGCGGCGTAGAAGACGTGGAGGTATCGCCGACAGGGGAGACACACAGCGAGACTGGCTCTGTTAGTCCGCCTCCGGAGTCCACTGCGCTTTCGGATCGCCATTCGTCTGATAGCGAACACAGCATCACCCTTCCGGCGCGCCAAGTGGCTAACAGAGTTTTCTCTTCCGTGGACTTCGACAATCTTCCGCCACTCCAGCAACCACGGGATCGGTGGATTCCCAACTATCTGGCGCCCTCCCGACGGGTAGCTTCCGAGATCGCTCCATGGTCCGTTTCGCAGATCGCGATGGTTTGCGTGAGGACCATGACCATTGAGCTGTTGTTTTACCACTGCTCCAAACCCAGGAATTTTCTGTTTCCCTTCTACAATCATGGACGAGCTCCGCCTACGGGGACTTGGGCTTCTGGGCTGATCTCGCGGCAACACATCGAGGCTCTTTACGCTACAGCCCCTTGGGATAATATCATAGTCCCAGTGAACCCGATATCGTTCACCATGACTGGGTGGTATCGTGATATGAGTCATCGGTACCTGGAGCTTGAGTCCACTCATCGACAAGCTCTGTGGGAATCCACTCATGCTTTCCCGATTCCTCCGGCTCAACGGCGATCTGAACGGTTCATGCAGACATTCTGGCGCCAACGAAAACAACGCCGTTCTTGCTTTGGAGCGCGTTGGAAGAACTTCTTGAAGATGATACTCAGCGGCATGATCGCTGGCCACTGCGATCTCGACATCTTGCTAGATCCCTTCTTCCTCCACTATCCGCGCCCACATGAAGACCGAGCTTGGTATCCAGGGTTAGGACACTCTTACGACCCAGCTGACTTGCTAGAGGCGTTGGACATGGCAGACCAAGAGGATCCTTGGCGCAACCAGTTCCGTAACGCCTATTGGGATCATCCCGGATCGCAGATCCCTCGTCTGCAGGACAAGTTCAAACCTGCTCCATTGTCTTAGTCCAAGATCGATATCCAAGCCCGATCGTCTTTCATAATCGTGTAAGTCATTCAATCATCTTCTTTTTGGTACTTCAATTCTTTGCAGCTTCCACGATCTCGATCCTCATCGCTCCACATCATTCAGGAAGGTAATTCACTTGACTATCTCCATACTCACATACAAAAACCTCATCCACCAGCATGTGCTACCGTCTAGCACATCTTTCAACCCCTACATCCGCATATGCTACCTCCCGCATACTTGTTCGAATTGTTAAGGTTCGTCCGACTTGGCTTCATGAGACTGCATTACGTCGAAACGGTTTCGACTCACTCGGTTCCGCTCAAACTCTTGCAAGATCGCCCCACAACTTAGATCGGCCTCGTCCACCCAACTTAGGTCGGGATATCCCTTCCACTTCACCAGAAACTGCCGGTGTACTCGCCCATAACGGGTTTTTCTACCAGATCGCACGTCCAATATTGCCTCTACTTCGTATTCCCCTTCTTCAAGATCGCCATCCCAACTGTCTTCTGGCAGCAGAGCTTCATCGAAATCCAAGCGATCTGATTCCTCTATCGTAAGCTGATCCTTCGGGCGTTCAGGGAACGTCTTTACCTTTTTAGCTTCGATATATGTACAATCGGAAATAACCGATATGGGGTTCCAGCGATCTCCAATTTTACAGCATGATCTCCACATACGTCCGCAACTCGGAATGGCCCATGCCACATGTGCGCTAGCTTCTTCGCATATCCCTCTTTAACTCGGTCCAGGTATAGCCAAACTTGCGCTCCTAATTCGATCTCGTGTGGTTCCAGATCTTCGTTGTGTCGATCCGCTCGCTCCTGGATCGCGGCTTGTTAACGATCGTTCACTACAGATCGGGCTCGCTGGTATTGTCTTTGGATTTTGTATCTCCACCTCTTTGGATCGCGAGCTCGTGTCCCCGTATTCCCCCACTGGTAGCGTAGCCTCCAAAGTCGATCGCGGGTCCCACCCATGAATCAGATAAAACGGGGTATCCCCCGGATCCGATCTTGTGCAGTGTTAATGACAAATGTGAGCCGCTCAGCATACTCATCCCAGTCTCGCTGGTCAACTTCAGCCACGTACATCTTGAGCGAATGTGTCAGGGTTTGCACCATTCGTTCGGCTGTTCCATTTGCTTGTGGCCTGTAAGCCATAGTAGCACGCTGTTTTTGTCCTACGATCCGACTGAAGGCTCGAAAGAAGTCGGACATAAATCCCGGTTCTCGATCGTGCCTGATAGCCTCGCTAGCTCCGAAGCGTCGAAACACACATTCTTCGTAATTCTCCGCTATTGTTTGTGCCGTCCGAGAGGAGCTAGCCTTTGCAATCACATATCCCGAGAAAAGGTCGACCCAACTGAGCAGTTCGGTGTTCCCCTTGATGGACTTGGGCAACGACGGTATATGATCCATGGCGATGATCTGGAATGGATGGGTTGCGTGTAGATTGCCCGGGGATTTCCCATGAATCATCGGGTTTCCTTTCCCGGACTCACAGTCGGTACATTCGCCCACATATCGTTGAACGCTCCGATACAGTCCTCTCCAATGAAATCGCGATCTGATCCTCTCATAGGTTCGGCCAATACCCTGATGGCCTCCTTCCAGACTCGTGTGATAGTGATGCAAAAAATCCTGCTGCAACGTCTCAGGGATCACCAACCGCATCAAACCATCGCGATCTTCTGACTCTCTTTTCGCCATGGGGCAAAAAATCGCAGATTGTTCTCATCGATCTCGTATTCCGGCGCCAGTTTGGCGCACATCTTCACTTCTACCGCATCCAAGTTTGATACATCGCCACTTAGATATGTCTTGAGATTGACAATCCAACGCTCTTCATCTTGAGCTTGGACAATTCGTTGAATCCTGATCCTCTGTACTATCTCCTCTGTATCACTTCAGGTTCATGACGTATCCTTCTGGCTGATCTCGTGATCGCAGTTGCCCGAGCCAGCTGACCATCTTGCTTGGGCTTCAACAATTCATCGAGACGGTTCAGAGTCATCAGATCTTGCCGATCCTCTTCAGCTACAACCGTTCTTCCCTTTTCGCTCTGCAATGCTGTGCTGGCTAGTCGATCTGCGCTCTGATTCCACTCTCGCTTCATATGCAAAAACTCGTGACTAGGCCATGACCGCAGCTTCTCCAACGCTTTGTGTCTCAGAAGCTGAAGGCCCGGTGCCTTGCAGTCGATCTCACCGCGCATCTGTCGAATCACCAGACTGGAATCTCCACACAGTATTACTCGCCTCCTATCCAGATCGGCGAGTAACTCAAAGCACAGTAGCAAGCCATTATACTCAGCTTCATTCACAGTCAGATCGTGAACATATCTCGATTCGGCCGCCACGATCGTCCATTCGGGTAACTTCCATATCACGGCACTGAACGACCCTCCTTTCTTTTTTATCCTAGCCGATCCATCGAAACTGGCCACCAGCAACTCCTCATCTGTTTCCACCGTTGGAGGAGGCATCGATATTTTGAGTCGACATTCTTTTCGTGGGGAGATCGTGTTAGCGAGTGATGATGCGGCGACTTGTGCAGGGTGTATATTGCATATTTGCATTAGTTGTATTGTTCTTTGGCAGGTTTATATCGTGGAATGTTGGCGATACGACAAGTCATCGGATTGGCTCCGTCGTTTGGGAAGGGGGGATTCCACGCGGGTGAGTGCGGGTTCGATCCCCGCCGTGTTCAAGTTAATTGTGACTGAAATTCACGACCTGGTGTTTGGGGTTCACCAGAAATGTGACCCCCCGCAGTTACGTCCCCCACCCACGCAATCGTTCACATTCTGCATATGACACAGCAGAGTTTTTACGAAAGGTATGTACAAGACGTAATTACCCAGTGATAGGTAAAACAGAAAGCGGTGGAGACAGGGCACGAAATAGGTGGCTGAGAGCCACCGGCAGCTACTAGCCATTCGTTTTCGAAGCTAGGAACAACTTGAATACAACTCCCTTTTCGGTTTTCATCCCCGGCCGTAAGTCATCTTCTTCTTAGCATCAGCTCCGCAACCTAGTTAAATCTAACAGATCGCAATCAGCATCTCTTCCACTTCTCCTCTCGGAGTGATACTCGCTGCTAATATGCCCAGGATCTCTTCCTCTCCTCTTTCACATTTTTTCACCTCCATAGTCCAATTTGACAACAAAGCAGCCCACCGTCCTAATCTCCCGTTGAGCCCTCGAGACTGCATCAACCAGGCTAACGTAGAATGTCGGGTCAGTACAGTGATCTCCCGCGAGGCAAGCGTAGTATAGCATACATCCAACACACGAAGTAGGGCCAGCACTTCTTTTTCTACCGTTCCGTAGTTAAGCTCATTAGGCTTTAAAGTGCGGATAGTAAACGTAACCGGATGATAAACGCCATCGTACTCCTGTATCAGGGCCGCTGAGACAGCCCACTTGCTAGCGTAGACCACGATTACGGGGGACCGATCTGGGTCGAAATGCTTGAGCATGGGAGCTGTAGCTATCTTAGCTTTTAGCATAGTGAAAGCAACCTTGGCTTCCGTCCATCGACCCTCGTTGGAGCATTCGTCTCCTGCCGCAAGCTGAGATCGGCCGATCTCGAAGAAATCCGATTCTCTTAACTCATACAACACCGCGGCATACACCGCGAAATCCTCAATGAAGCGACGGTAGTAGTTCAAGCTCCCGAGAAAGGATTGCATAGCCCGTAGCGTGCTAGGAAACGGGATGTTAACCAACGACTCTAGGTTCTTGGGCTGAGCCTCCAGACCATCCATCGACACTCGATGCCCCAAACAATCGACCTTACGGCACCCCCAAAAGCTCTTCGTGATGCTGATAGACAGATTCCACTTATCACATGCCTCCATCAACCGTTATACTTTTGTGTACAAAGATCCCCATGACGTGGATGGTATGAGAATATCGTCAATGTAAGATCGGCGTCCCAGTATAGACGGTCGTCGATCTGTCTCAGGCTCTCCATCTTTGAACACGTCGATCGGGCCATCAGAGGCTGATCTCTGACCGATCTTGAGATATCCATACAACGCATTGTCCACCAGACGTTGGTAGATCTGGGGCGCGTTCTTAAGCCCAAAAGGCATTCGCAGCCACTCGAACAAGCCAAACGGTGTGACAAACGCTGAGATCAATTTTGCTCGTTCAGTCATTTCGACGACCCAAAATCCACTAGCCATGTCTAGCGAACAGTACCATAGAGCTTTATCCAGATCTTCCAACATATCGCTGATCAACGGCATGGGATAAACCATCAGACGCGTCAGCTGGTTCACTCTTCGATAATCAATGCAAAGGCGAATATCCACTCCGTTCTTCTTGATGATCACCGCTATCGTAGACGCACAAGGTGACGTGGATGGCTGAACGATTTTGGCTGCTAATAGTCCTTTGATGAGATCTGACAGCTTCTCCCGATATTTGGGTGCGACCGGACGCACTCTTTGCGCTATCGGTGCTGCCCCACCGACATCAATATCACAGATCGCGCCTCGTGCTGCTGGTGGTAGAGCATTACCTTTACCCATGAGGAGGTGACGGCTCTTCCAGATCAGCGATCTGAGCCGTTGTTGATCTGTGGTGAGAGGCACATCGGGATCACTGATCTGAATGTCCTCAATCGTAACTTCTTCCGTAGTCGCCGACATCTCTGGTAGCACGGCCGTATGCTGCTCGATATCTTCCGCAAACAAATCTCCGCTCTCATGGTGATAAACTGGTATTTCTGCGATCTCGACGTCTTCAGTATTTAGCATTATTTCTTCTTTAGGCTCCTTCGTCTCTTCCGGCTGGCCCAATTTCAACAGTCGGTCAGTCGGCTCAGCCTTCGGTAGAGACGATCTGTCACGTAGCTCTTCTTGACCGGTGTCGCGGTCTCCCTTCGTTGCATGTTGGGTACCGATCTCATGACCGTTCTCCATCCGCGATAGTTCGGCTCCCCTGACCGTTACTTCCCTCGCAACTACAGCATCTGCCTTTTTCGAATCGCCATCGTTAGCTTGCGGCGTTACCGTAGAGATCGCCGGAGACAGGTTCTGTAACGCATCAGACGGACGTTTCAAGATGCGTTTGGGAGCGGCATACGTAGGACGATCTACCAATGGTCCGATCTGTTCTTTCGGGAGTTCGTTCACTCGATCCGTCGTAGCCTCATATGCCAGAGTTTGCCATTCCTTGTACTTCCCTGACCCGACTGTCACCAAACCTTGAGTTCGCGGTACCATATCGCCTTCGACCCACATGCCTAATATAGTGTGGGTGGGCAGTATAATCTCACGGTCGCCAATGTTGGTCATCTGCAGGTATTTCGTCTTACCCCACCCCGAGATCACAGTGGGGACCCAATCTAGTCCTCTAGCGACCCACAACTTCATCTTAGCCCCTCCGATCCCGATCTTTACTTCCCTTGACTCTCCGACCGGGATCACCACGTGATGGTCCTTCGCCGTTATATGTTGTATCTTCGATCCGTACGCGGGGCGACGTCCTGCGAGATGAATGCGGATTTCTTCTGGTAGACATAGCGCGCCATCCGCTAGATCGAGCCGCACTCCAGCAGGCACCATAAAATCCATACCCAGAATCGTTTCTTGCCCTGCTAGATCGCCTACCCATACATTGAAATAGTAGACCAGCGATCCCGCGAGGGTCACCTTGATCTTGGTACGTCCTACCGTCATGTACGGAGTTTCTCCAATCCCGATACATTCTTGTCGTTGACTTACGTCAATATTGCAACCGAACTCACGAGCAAAGGTGGTGTCAATGATCGACACTTCAGCACCAGAATCAAATAACAGAGTAGCTTTTACGTTGTTGATCTTACCAACGGCTTTCGCTTGTTTGAACCACTTACCGGGTGAATAATGTTTCCAGTATCCGCGAGATTCACCATAAGCGAGCTCGATCTCCATAGCTGGTTCAGATCGTGAGTACTCATCGATCCGCTTCAGATGGGACACGGAAGCGACACGTTTTAACTTCGAACGAGATATATTTGTTTCCACGTCAATATCCTACTTACTCTCGCGATCTGTCTTCTTTTTTTTTTTCACGTATGCAATAATGCAGAGCCCAGAACGCTCGGCTCGTACCAGATTCAAACCTGGCGAGCGTCCTGGTTTAACATCTTCTCGTCCTTCTCTGGTAGCATCCCCGCATGCTTATTCGGGACGTACCACTGACGTATCATGTTGTAGAACTCCTCCATGGGACACTTCCCCGGGTCGTGCATCTCACCGCAAGCACGACACACGAAAAAACAATTGTCAGAGGGGTGTCCTTTACGCCCACACTTCTGGCAAGTGAGCCGCTTCCAGCAACCGAGATCTCCATGCTTGGTCGATCCGCAATGAGTACACGGCTTCAATGGAATATTGCGATCTTGATAGTCTTGACGAGTGTTCGGGTCGACCGATCTCGCGTTTGCTGCAACGTCATTGGGGATGAACGGCGATCCGCAGTAGCAGCCACATGGATCGATCTCAATCGATCTTCCAAATCCGATCCGCAGGTGTCCGATCCTGACTCGCTGCAGACGTCCTCGGTACGGACCATCCTTACCGCTCGTGCAGACTTAGACAGCGCTGGACTTTGAGTTCCCTTCTGCCTGAACTTGGACGATCCCATCATCACTTTCCCTTGACGCGATCTCCCTTGTTGATATCCGTGCGGTGTCTTTTGCATGGCTCCCGCGTCTTCTACATTCAGCAGTAGCAATTGATTGGACAGATCGGGGTCGTCCAAGGTGTCAATGAAATGGTTGACATGTTCCTTGCGCGCAGCTGGCAATGCAGTCATCACCGGTATCTTCGCCTGCATTCCAATCACATTAAGCCTATACAGGTACTGTAAAGGATCTTCCTCCGATCGTTTCTTTTCGTGGTAGTACTGCCTGCTCGCGTACATCTCGTGTCCTGCATACTCCACAAGAAAACTGTTCATCAATTCTTTCCAATTGAATCTCGTCGATCTACTCAGCTGTCGGTACCAGTAGCGGGCTGGGCCCACCATGAGATCACCGAAGACCAGACATCTCTCCTCGTCCGGTGCTTGGTCCCGGATAAACGCTGATTTCACTTTGCCGATCCAGGTCCGTGCTTTGTCTTCTTCCCGATCCTTCCCTGAGAATTCTTTCAGCTCAGAAATCGCTGAGATTCTGATCCTCTGCGTGATGCTTCCCCCTCCGGTAGTCGCACCGGTCGCGGCTACATGAGGGCGCCGTGGTTCGGGCATCCATAGATCATCCGGGTCGTATTCCGCCCCCTCATGGATATGTTGGTAAATGTCCGACCCCACCGACTCCATCTCCACATCCGGCATGTCAAGGCTTTCGTGTGAAGGTTTGAGCAAAGTACGTCGATCTGGGTAGCGGTTTGGCTGTCGATTCATTCGCTGAGCTGTACGTTGATCCGCCTCGTACTTCTTCATGGCTGAATTGAAGTACCGACTTAGATCGCCCTCTTCTTGATCCTCCAACCCAGTGCGGGTACTGGCCGATCTCTGCGGCATGTTGCTCTTGGCTTGTCCCTTATAGGCGTCGATCTTGGCTTTTCCGATCTTGTCCTTTAAGAACCTTCCACCCGATGGTCCTAGAGACATCTGACGAATGCTGATGGATCCATCTGACTCGCTCTCGGAGTCATCCGAGGCGTAGCGGGAGCGATCCCGCGGGGTGTTTACGGAGCGAGCCCGAGGGCGTCCCGATCTTGTCCTCAGGAGTATTCGCTTTGCCCACCAGCATTATCATGATCTCTACAAACTCATTCGCCGCGTCCTTAAACTGTTCCAAGCTGCAACTCAGCAGTTCATCTCCATCAAAAGCGTCAGGGCAGATACCCATGTCGTCCAACATCTGCAAAATCAAATTGATCTCGTCGACTTTGTTGGTCCCGTGAAGTGGGACCGAGATCGGCTTATCCAGAGGACCAATCACCTTGGGCCTTAATATCTTGAACACTGGGTCCGTCTTGAGCAGCGTCTTCAACTGGCCATAATAGTACTGCCATTTTGCACGCTCCCGCGCTTCACCCGTCGTCTCCTTCTCCCTGGACGCGATCTTTATTGGGTTATATTCCGTCTTTGGCATCGCGATCTTATCTGGTGTTTCATCGTATTCCTCTTTGGCTCCGATCTTTGATTGCACGGTTCGGCCGATCTGGCGATCTTTGACATCTGATCCCATCGATCTCGTCGCGGATCGTTCTGATGTGGTCGATCTCGCGATTGTGCTCTTCGGCTTGAGGTCGGGCGATCTATCGACTAAGATATAGGGTTTGGCTTTCGCCGATTTGGTTTTCACCATTGGATTTTTATCCAGCAGATCGCTCTTTGCAGAGCGATCTGCGGTGGACCCCGAAGGGACCCTAGGAGGGAATTGAGGTTTATCTTCCAGATCGATCTCTCGATCTTCCTCTTTCATTTTCATTTCATCAGAGCCCCTCCCAAAACTCTGATGATCTGAGGATCTTGTGCTTCTGCGTGTCTGCGTCGATCCCTTTGTCGCTGACACTTCAATCCCAGGTTCTTGCTTAATCTTGACATCTTCGCCAGTGGACTCACGGTGAAATCCAGAGGCCTCAGAAGATCCGGGCACGCGCACCATTGTGGTGAAGTCGATCTCACAAAATTGCTTGTATGAGTGTCGATCTTCCACTTGCCCAGACTTGCCGACTCACGGAGGGGGTACTCCGATCCGTGCCTTGTTGTATGACCTTGTGCTCACCTTGTGTACCCGTCGGTTGGGCTGGCTTGAGCTCTTCGTAACGGCCTTGGGAGATGTCGATCTCGCTGAGAGGTTGGGTTGAGGGTTCGCTTCCGGTGCGGAAATCTTCACACCACGAACGGGGTTCTGCGATCCCGATCTTGGATCGCACCGATCTTGATTTGTCTTCGAGATCGGGGTCTTTTCTGTGCGGAAATCTTCACTCAGCAAATAAAAGTACTGCGTCGATCTTGCCTTGGGATCGGTCCGATCTGGTCTTGGGATCGGCCGATCTTGCCGGAAGTGCGCAATTTGGGTAGATCGGTGTCTTGTTTTGCCAAAATGAAACGTGCCGATCTGTCCAGGGGATCGCTTCGATCCTGCTCGGTCTTGTCTTGAACGCCTTGTCCAGATCTTCTGACCACTTGAGCCGTCTCGCGATCCTGTGTCCAAAATCCTTTTCCTTTTCCGTTGTGTGCTGCTACCCTAGCAGTTGAGTTGAGTGTGAGTACTTGATCGATCCGGGCTAGATATCCCGGGATCGCTCTTCTCGATCTTGGCCAACAATCCAAGATCGGTCTTCTGTGTCCCTGTAACACGCGTGCCTTAACCCGCCGGGGAAGCCAAATCAATCTTGCCTGGAGAAGAGGGGAGGATAACGTGCGTCGTGAGCAGAAGAAGTAGAGTTCAAGTCTGTTTATTAACCAACCAAATTACTACCCAACCTACCCTTAAGCCTATTCTTAACTATAGGTCACTCTTCAAACCGATATCGCCTTGAATCTGGTTCGCCCCCTTGCCACGTGTCGAAATTTCGTGCCCTGTACTCCAATGATAGCGCCAATATCCCCGATATCGTACCTAGAGCACCAAATGGACCAAAATCTCCTATATGGTACCAAATACCCATTCTTGGCACCCAAGTACCCAATATATGACCCAAAATGCTGAATGTGTCCAAATTCACTTTGCGAAGTCAATTCGGACAGCTTCCACTGGCTCTTTTGGCATGAAATTTCTTGACATCACTTAGTGACCTCTATCAAGTATATTCCACATGATCCAGTATCTTCATCAACCATATATTCATGATTAGTGTGGAACCTGACCGATCTGTCATCCAATATCGAGATGTTGGAGGTCGATCCGGTCTAAATCGGCAATTAACACTTTTTCACCTCCTCATACGTGCTTCAATATCATCCTCCAGTGTTATCCAATCGACAACTTCATTCATACGTCTCGACATCGGTTTCCTTGACTCCCCTGAGTATGCAAAACTTCCAGATCGGTGTATAATTAACCAAAATCAGTACTCCCAATTTAGGATCGGTAAAGAGTATCACCGATCCGTATGGTATTGCACCTTCTTTGCCGATTCACCGACCCGTACCACCTGGTCCCAGATGCACTTTGGGGAGTCACCTTGTCCCAGATGTGTCAATTCTCCAACAAACCGTTGCCACAACATGTCGATCTGCGATCTGATCTTAGCCTGCTTCAATGTACGTATACTTCTTCTTGACCGGCATTCCAATGAGCTGTATGACTTCATCCCGATGTCTGGTTCCAGATCGCCCCATAACATTCTGCAAGATGTTACACCTTCGTCGCAGAGTCATATCCCATCACCCGGTCCCAGATCCTTGTCCCAGATTGTTCCATGTAAATCGTTCCAGATCGCTCCGTCCCAGGTCGATCCATACCCATTAGTCTAACGACAGTTGGATCGGTTCGCCGATCCCGTTAAGATCATCTTCCACCTCCGTATTGGATCGCCGAGTCTCATGGCCTCCTTTTCCACCAGTAAGCGGCGCTTTAAAGGTGTGGCCACCGATCCTCGTACAAAATTTGAGTAGTGACTTAGCCACACTGTCCTGTCCGCTTGACTGACGAGAGCGACCAATAAATGACAACCCGACTAGTGATCCTCATTTCCTCTATGCCGACAAGTTACATCACTAATTTGCTGGTTTGGTGGGCGGTCATCAAGGGGTCAGTCGCACCTACTATCGGATACGACGGCAATGCCATTAGAGAGACTTGTTTCAAAGTTTGCAGGGGTCTATGGGACTATGTGTGGATTGCGAGACGAAAAAGGGGGGGGGTATTCGTTAAGGGGCAAGCACAGGGACCGTCGAGGCTACCTACCCTTTCCAAGTCATTGCAACGTACCATATCCTCTCTTAGCCCGAATTACAAAAGGGAAACACTGAACTACTAATGTGGGTCGACCTATTCACTGGATATGTTATGGACCAGTCAAGTGCGTCACAAAATGCTCAGACGGTGGCAGAAGGGTATGAATAATGTGTTTTGTGGCGTTATAAAGTTAGCGAGGTGATCCGCTATAATCGAGAATCCGGTTTGATGTCGGAATTCTTTTGACCGTCAAATCGCATGGTAGGTCAGCGTCACCAGGCAACGATGGCTTACCGACCCCATGCGAACGGAACCGCGAAAAGAATGGTCTAGACCCCGAAAATTTCTATCAATACGAATGTTTCAGAAGCGGCATAGCAAGATTAAGACGAATACGCAGAATGGCTAACGTTCGCACTGAATGCTGCACACTATAGGGTTCGAAAAGAGACAACACTCTATTTGACCCATGATGGGACGCCAGAACCACCCTCGAAGCAACGTTGCCAGTGATGAACACCTGATTCTGAGAATGAAGACCTCGGAGGTGGACGTATCACATCCAGAGTCACTATTAGCGGGCGAGGGAACAAGTGAACGAGTATATGCGGCTGGCCAGTCAAGCCCGGAAGCTAGCTTATAGTGAAGAAGTAGTCGGTCACAATGTTCGACCAGGTATCCAATTGTGGCTCTACCTGATCGTCTGAAGGAAGGTACGTCAAAAAATTGGCTATCCTCTGGCATGGTACGTTCCAAGCTTTGGAGTTGGTCAAAGAACATGCTTCGCGGTTGGAAGTAAAAGATCCGAAGTACAGCTTATTCCAGATCATTCAAATCTCCGAGCTCAAGAGGGTTAAAAAGTTCCCTGATCGCCCAGGTGACCGGTTGACAGTGGAAGAGGCCGATTGAAAAAACTTTAACGAATGTGTGGCAAAGTCACTACTCAAATTTTGTACGAGGATCGGTGGCCACACCTTTAAAGCGCCACTTACTGGTGGAAAGGAGGCCATGAGACTCGGCGATCCAATACGGAGGTGGAAGATGATCTTAACGGGATCGGCGAACTGATCCAACTGTCGTTAGACTAATGGGTATGGATCGACCTGGGACGGAGCGATCTGGAACGATTTACATGGAACAATCTGGGACAAGGATCTGGGACCGGGTGATGGGATATGACTCTGCGACGAAGGTGTAACATCTTGCAGAATGTTATGGGGCGATCTGGAACCAGACATCGGGATGAAGTCATACAGCTCATTGGAATGCCGGTCAAGAAGAAGTATACGTACATTGAAGCAGGCTAAGATCAGATCGCAGATCGACATGTTGTGGCAACGGTTTGTTGGAGAATTGACACATCTGGGACAAGGTGAATCCCCAAAGTGCATCTGGGACCAGGTGGTACGGGTCGGTGAATCGGCAAAGAGGTGCAACACCATACGGATCGGTGATACTCTTTACCGATCCTAAATTGGGAGTACTGATTTTGGTTAATTATACACCGATCTGGAAGTTTTGCATACTCAGGGGAGTCAAGGAAACCGATGTCGAGACGTATGAATGAATTTGTCGATTGGATAACACTGGGGGATGATATTGAAGCACGTATGAGGAGGTGAAAAAGTGTTAATTGCCGATTTAGACCGGATCGACCTCCAACATCTCGATATTGGATGACAGATCGGTCAGGTTCCACACTAATCATGAATATATGGTTGATGAAGATACTGGATCATGTGGGATATATTTGATAGAGGTCACTAAGTGATGTCAAGAAGTTTCATGTCGAAAGAGCCAGTGGAAGCTGTCCGAATTGACTTCGCAAAGTGAATTTGGACACATTCAGCATTTTGGGTCATATATTGGGTACTTGGGTGCCAAGAATGGGTATTTGGTACCATATAGGAGATTTTGGTCCATTTGGTGCTCTAGGTACGATATCGGGGATATTGGCGCTATCATTGGAGTACAGGGCACGAAATTTCGACACGTGGCAAGGGGGCGAACCAGATTCAAGGCGATATCGGTTTGAAGAGTGACCTATAGTTAAGAATAGGCTTAAGGGTAGGTTGGGTAGTAATTTGGTTGGTTAATAAACAGACTTGAACTCTACTTCTTCTGCTCACGACGCACGTTATCCTCCCCTCTTCTCCAGGCAAGATTGATTTGGCTTCCCCGGCGGGTTAAGGCACGCGTGTTACAGGGACACAGAAGACCGATCTTGGATTGTTGGCCAAGATCGAGAAGAGCGATTCCGGGATATCTGGCCCGGATCGATCAAGTACTCACACTCAACTCAACTGCTAGGGTAGCAGCACACAACGGAAAAGGAAAAGGATTTTGGACACAGGATCGCGAGACGGCTCAAGTGGTCAGAAGATCTGGACAAGGCGTTCAAGACAAGACCGAGCAGGATCGAAGCGATCCCCTGGACAGATCGGCACGTTTCATTTTGGCAAAACAAGACACCGATCTACCCAAATTGCGCACTTCCGGCAAGATCGGCCGATCCCAAGACCAGATCGGACCGATCCCAAGGCAAGATCGACGCAGGACTTTTATTTGCAGAGTGAAGATTTCCGCACAGAAAAGACCCCGATCTCGAAGACAAATCAAGATCGGTGCGATCCAAGATCGGGATCGCAGAACCCCGTTCGTGGTGTGAAGATTTCCGCACCGGAAGCGAACCCTCAACCCAACCTCTCAGCGAGATCGACATCTCCCAAGGCCGTTACGAAGAGCTCAAGCCAGCCCAACCGACGGGTACACAAGGTGAGCACAAGGTCATACAACAAGGCACGGATCGGAGTACCCCCTCCGTGAGTCGGCAAGTCTGGGCAAGTGGAAGATCGACACTCATACAAGCAATTTTGTGAGATCGACTTCACCACAATGGTGCGCGTGCCCGGATCTTCTGAGGCCTCTGGATTTCACCGTGAGTCCACTGGCGAAGATGTCAAGATTAAGCAAGAACCTGGGATTGAAGTGTCAGCGACAAAGGGATCGACGCAGACACGCAGAAGCACAAGATCCTCAGATCATCAGAGTTTTGGGAGGGGCTCTGATGAAATGAAAATGAAAGAGGAAGATCGAGAGATCGATCTGGAAGATAAACCTCAATTCCCTCCTAGGGTCCCTTCGGGGTCCACCGCAGATCGCTCTGCAAAGAGCGATCTGCTGGATAAAAATCCAATGGTGAAAACCAAATCGGCGAAAGCCAAACCCTATATCTTAGTCGATAGATCGCCCGACCTCAAGCCGAAGAGCACAATCGCGAGATCGACCACATCAGAACGATCCGCGACGAGATCGATGGGATCAGATGTCAAAGATCGCCAGATCGGCCGAACCGTGCAATCAAAGATCGGAGCCAAAGAGGAATACGATGAAACACCAGATAAGATCGCGATGCCAAAGACGGAATATAACCCAATAAAGATCGCTTCCAGGGAGAAGGAGACGACGGGTGAAGCGCGGGAGCGTGCAAAATGGCAGTACTATTATGGCCAGTTGAAGACGCTGCTCAAGACGGACCCAGTGTTCAAGATATTAAGGCCCAAGGTGATTGGTCCTCTGGATAAGCCGATCTCGGTCCCACTTCACGGGACCAACAAAGTCGACGAGATCAATTTGATTTTGCAGATGTTGGACGACATGGGTATCTGCCCTGACGCTTTTGATGGAGATGAACTGCTGAGTTGCAGCTTGGAACAGTTTAAGGACGCGGCGAATGAGTTTGTAGAGATCATGATAATGCTGGTGGGCAAAGCGAATACTCCTGAGGACAAGATCGGGACGCCCTCGGGCTCGCTCCGTAAACACCCCGCGGGATCGCCCCGCTACGCCTCGGATGACTCCGAGAGCGAGTCAGATGGATCCATCAGCATTCGTCAGATGTCTCTAGGACCATCGGGTGGAAGGTTCTTAAAGGACAAGATCGGAAAAGCCAAGATCGACGCCTATAAGGGACAAGCCAAGAGCAACATGCCGCAGAGATCGGCCAGTACCCGCACTGGGTTGGAGGATCAAGAAGAGGGCGATCTAAGTCGGTACTTCAATTCAGCCATGAAGAAGTACGAGGCGGATCAACGTACAGCTCAGCGAATGAATCGACAGCCAAACCGCTACCCAGATCGACGTACTTTGCTCAAACCTTCACACGAAAGCCTTGACATGCCGGATGTGGAGATGGAGTCGGTGGGGTCGGACATTTACCAACATATCCATGAGGGGGCGGAATACGACCCGGATGATCTATGGATGCCCGAACCACGGCGCCCTCATGTAGCCGCGACCGGTGCGACTACCGGAGGGGGAAGCATCACGCAGAGGATCAGAATCTCAGCGATTTCTGAGCTGAAAGAATTCTCAGGGAAGGATCGGGAAGAAGACAAAGCACGGACCTGGATCGGCAAAGTGAAATCAGCGTTTATCCGGGACCAAGCACCGGACGAGGAGAGATGTCTGGTCTTCGGTGATCTCATGGTGGGCCCAGCCCGCTACTGGTACCGACAGCTGAGTAGATCGACGAGATTCAATTGGAAAGAATTGATGAACAGTTTTCTTGTGGAGTATGCAGGACACGAGATGTACGCGAGCAGGCAGTACTACCACGAAAAGAAACGATCGGAGGAAGATCCTTTACAGTACCTGTATAGGCTTAATGTGATTGGAATGCAGGCGAAGATACCGGTGATGACTGCATTGCCAGCTGCGCGCAAGGAACATGTCAACCATTTCATTGACACCTTGGACGACCCCGATCTGTCCAATCAATTGCTACTGCTGAATGTAGAAGACGCGGGAGCCATGCAAAAGACACCGCACGGATATCAACAAGGGAGATCGCGTCAAGGGAAAGTGATGATGGGATCGTCCAAGTTCAGGCAGAAGGGAACTCAAAGTCCAGCGCTGTCTAAGTCTGCACGAGCGGTAAGGATGGTCCGTACCGAGGACGTCTGCAGCGAGTCAGGATCGGACACCTGCGGATCGGATTTGGAAGATCGATTGAGATCGATCCATGTGGCTGCTACTGCGGATCGCCGTTCATCCCCAATGACGTTGCAGCAAACGCGAGATCGGTCGACCCGAACACTCGTCAAGACTATCAAGATCGCAATATTCCATTGAAGCCGTGTACTCATTGCGGATCGACCAAGCATGGAGATCTCGGTTGCTGGAAGCGGCTCACTTGCCAGAAGTGTGGGCGTAAAGGACACCCCTCTGACAATTGTTTTTCGTGTGTCGTGCTTGCGGTGAGATGCACGACCCGGGGAAGTGTCCCATGGAGGAGTTCTACAACATGATACGTCAGTGGTACGTCCCGAATAAGCATGCGGGGATGCTACCAGAGAAGGACGAGAAGATGTTAAACCAGGACGCTCGCCAGGTTTGAATCTGGTACGAGCCGAGCGTTCTGGGCTCTGCATTATTGCATACGTGAAAAAAAAAGAAGACAGATCGCGAGAGTAAGTAGGATATTGACGTGGAAACAAATATATCTCGTTCGAAGTTAAAACGTGTCGCTTCCGTGTCCCATCTGAAGCGGATCGATGAGTACTCACGATCTGAACCAGCTATGGAGATCGAGCTCGCTTATGGTGAATCTCGCGGATACTGGAAACATTATTCACCCGGTAAGTGGTTCAAACAAGCGAAAGCCGTTGGTAAGATCAACAACGTAAAAGCTACTCTGTTATTTGATTCTGGTGCTGAAGTGTCGATCATTGACACCACCTTTGCTCGTGAGTTCGGTTGCAATATTGACGTAAGTCAACGACAAGAATGTATCGGGATTGGAGAAACTCCGTACATGACGGTAGGACGTACCAAGATCAAGGTGACCCTCGCGGGATCGCTGGTCTACTATTTCAATGTATGGGTAGGCGATCTAGCAGGGCAAGAAACGATTCTGGGTATGGATTTTATGGTGCCTGCTGGAGTGCGGCTCGATCTAGCGGATGGCGCGCTATGTCTACCAGAAGAAATCCGCATTCATCTCGCAGGACGTCGCCCCGCGTACGGATCGAAGATACAACATATAACGGCGAAGGACCATCACGTGGTGATCCCGGTCGGAGAGTCAAGGGAAGTAAAGATCGGGATCGGAGGGGCTAAGATGAAGTTGTGGGTCGCTAGAGGACTAGATTGGGTCCCCACTGTGATCTCGGGGTGGGGTAAGACGAAATACCTGCAGATGACCAACATTGGCGACCGTGAGATTATACTGCCCACCCACACTATATTAGGCATGTGGGTCGAAGGCGATATGGTACCGCGAACTCAAGGTTTGGTGACAGTCGGGTCAGGGAAGTACAAGGAATGGCAAACTCTGGCATATGAGGCTACGACGGATCGAGTGAACGAACTCCCGAAAGAACAGATCGGACCATTGGTAGATCGTCCTACGTATGCCGCTCCCAAACGCATCTTGAAACGTCCGTCTGATGCGTTACAGAACCTGTCTCCGGCGATCTCTACGGTAACGCCGCAAGCTAACGATGGCGATTCGAAAAAGGCAGATGCTGTAGTTGCGAGGGAAGTAACGGTCAGGGGAGCCGAACTATCGCGGATGGAGAACGGTCATGAGATCGGTACCCAACATGCAACGAAGGGAGACCGCGACACCGGTCAAGAAGAGCTACGTGACAGATCGTCTCTACCGAAGGCTGAGCCGACTGACCGACTGTTGAAATTGGGCCAGCCGGAAGAGACGAAGGAGCCTAAAGAAGAAATAATGCTAAATACTGAAGACGTCGAGATCGCAGAAATACCAGTTTATCACCATGAGAGCGGAGATTTGTTTGCGGAAGATATCGAGCAGCATACGGCCGTGCTACCAGAGATGTCGGCGACTACGGAAGAAGTTACGATTGAGGACATTCAGATCAGTGATCCCGATGTGCCTCTCACCACAGATCAACAACGGCTCAGATCGCTGATCTGGAAGAGCCGTCACCTCCTCATGGGTAAAGGTAATGCTCTACCACCAGCAGCACGAGGCGCGATCTGTGATATTGATGTCGGTGGGGCAGCACCGATAGCGCAAAGAGTGCGTCCGGTCGCACCCAAATATCGGGAGAAGCTGTCAGATCTCATCAAAGGACTATTAGCAGCCAAAATCGTTCAGCCATCCACGTCACCTTGTGCGTCTACGATAGTGGTGATCATCAAGAAGAACGGAGTGGATATTCGCCTTTGCATTGATTATCGAAGAGTGAACCAGCTGACGCGTCTGATGGTTTATCCCATGCCGTTGATCAGCGATATGTTGGAAGATCTGGATAAAGCTCTATGGTACTGTTCGCTAGACATGGCTAGTGGATTTTGGGTCGTCGAAATGACTGAACGAGCAAAATTGATCTCAGCGTTTGTCACACCGTTTGGCTTGTTCGAGTGGCTGCGAATGCCTTTTGGGCTTAAGAACGCGCCCCAGATCTACCAACGTCTGGTGGACAATGCGTTGTATGGATATCTCAAGATCGGTCAGAGATCAGCCTCTGATGGCCCGATCGACGTGTTCAAAGATGGAGAGCCTGAGACAGATCGACGACCGTCTATACTGGGACGCCGATCTTACATTGACGATATTCTCATACCATCCACGTCATGGGGATCTTTGTACACAAAAGTATAACGGTTGATGGAGGCATGTGATAAGTGGAATCTGTCTATCAGCATCACGAAGAGCTTTTGGGGGTGCCGTAAGGTCGATTGTTTGGGGCATCGAGTGTCGATGGATGGTCTGGAGGCTCAGCCCAAGAACCTAGAGTCGTTGGTTAACATCCCGTTTCCTAGCACGCTACGAGCTATGCAATCCTATCTCGGGAGCTTGAACTACTACCGTTGCTTCATTGAGGATTTCGCGGTGTATGCTGCGGTGTTGTATGAGTTAAGAGAATCGGATTTCTTCGAGATCGGCCAATCCCAGCTTGCGGCAGGAGACGAATGCTCCAACGAGGGTCGATGGACGGAAGCCAAGGTTGCTTTCACTATGCTAAAAGCTAAGATAGCTACAGCTCCCATGCTCAAGCATTTCGACCCAGATCGGTCCCCCGTAATCGTGGTCTACGCTAGCAAGTGGGCTGTCTCAGCGGCCCTGATACAGGAGTACGATGGCGTTTATCATCCGGTTACGTTTACTATCCGCACTTTAAAGCCTAATGAGCTTAACTACGGAACGGTAGAAAAAGAAGTGCTGGCGCTACTTCGTGTGTTGGATGTATGCTATACTACGCTTGCCTCGCGGGAGATCACTGTACTGACCCGACATTCTACGTTAGCCTGGTTGATGCAGTCTCGAGGGCTCAACGGGAGATTAGGACGGTGGGCTGCTTTGTTGTCAAATTGGACTATGGAGGTGAAAAAATGTGAAAGAGGAGAGGAAGAGATCCTGGGCATATTAGCAGCGAGTATCACTCCGAGAGGAGAAGTGGAAGAGATGCTGATTGCGATCTGTTAGATTTAACTAGGTTGCGGAGCTGATGCTAAGAAGAAGATGGCTTACGGCCGGGGATGAAAACCGAAAAGGGAGTTGTATTCAAATTGTTCCTAGCTTCGAAAACGAATGGCTAGTAGCTGCCGGTGGCTCTCAGCCACCTATTTCGTGCCCTGTCTCCACCGCTTTCTGTTTTACCTATCACTGGGTAATTACGTCTTGTACATACCTTTCGTAAAAACTCTGCTGTGTCATATGCAGAATGTGAACGATTGCGTGGGTGGGGGACGTAACTGCGGGGGGTCACATTTCTGGTGAACCCCAAACACCAGGTCGTGAATTTCAGTCACAATTAACTTGAACACGGCGGGGATCGAACCCGCACTCACCCGCGTGGAATCCCCCTTCCCAAACGACGGAGCCAATCCGATGACTTGTCGTATCGCCAACATTCCACGATATAAACCTGCCAAAGAACAATACAACTAATGCAAATATGCAATATACACCCTGCACAAGTCGCCGCATCATCACTCGCTAACACGATCTCCCCACGAAAAGAATGTCGACTCAAAATATCGATGCCTCCTCCAACGGTGGAAACAGATGAGGAGTTGCTGGTGGCCAGTTTCGATGGATCGGCTAGGATAAAAAAAAGAAAGGAGGGTCGTTCAGTGCCGTGATATGGAAGTTACCCGAATGGACGATCGTGGCGGCCGAATCAAGATATGTTCACGATCTGACTGTGAATGAAGCTGAGTATAATGGCTTGCTACTGTGCTTTGAGTTACTCGCCGATCTGGATAGGAGGCGAGTAATACTGTGTGGAGATTCCAGTCTGGTGATTCGACAGATGCGCGGTGAGATCGACTGCAAGGCACCGGGCCTTCAGCTTCTGAGACACAAAGCGTTGGAGAAGCTGCGGTCATGGCCTAGTCACGAGTTTCTGCATATGAAGCGAGAGTGGAATCAGAGCGCAGATCGACTAGCCAGCACCGCATTGCAGAGCGAAAAGGGAAGAACGGTTGTAGCTGAAGAGGATCGGCAAGATCTGATGACTCTGAACCGTCTCGATGAATTGTTGAAGCCCAAGCAAGATGGTCAGCTGGCTCGGGCAACTGCGATCACGAGATCAGCCAGGAGGATACGTCATGAACCTGAAGTGATACAGGAGGAGATAGTACAGAGGATCAGGATTCAACGAATTGTCCAAGCTCAAGATGAAGAGCGTTGGATTGTCAATCTCAAGACATATCTAAGTGGCGATGTATCAAACTTGGATGCGGTAGAAGTGAAGATGTGCGCCAAACTGGCGCCGGAATACGAGATCGATGAGAACAATCTGCGATTTTTTGCCCCATGGCGAAAAGAGAGTCAGAAGATCGCGATGGTTTGATGCGGTTGGTGATCCCTGAGACGTTGCAGCAGGATTTTTGCATCACTATCACACGAGTCTGGAAGGAGGCCATCAGGGTATCGGCCGAACCTATGAGAGGATCAGATCGCGATTTCATTGGAGAGGACTGTATCGGAGCGTTCAACGATATGTGGGCGAATGTACCGACTGTGAGTCCGGGAAAGGAAACCCGATGATTCATGGGAAATCCCCGGGCAATCTACACGCAACCCATCCATTCCAGATCATCGCCATGGATCATATACCGTCGTTGCCCAAGTCCATCAAGGGGAACACCGAACTGCTCAGTTGGGTCGACCTTTTCTCGGGATATGTGATTGCAAAGGCTAGCTCCTCTCTGACGGCACAAACAATAGCGGAGAATTACGAAGAATGTGTGTTTCGACGCTTCCGGAGCTAGCGAGGCTATCAGGCACGATCGAGAACCGGGATTTATGTCCGACTTCTTTCGAGCCTTCAGTCGGATCGTAGGACAAAAACAGCGTGCTACTATGGCTTACAGGCCACAAGCAAATGGAACAGCCGAACGAATGGTGCAAACCCTGACACATTCGCTCAAGATGTACGTGGCTGAAGTTGACCAGCGAGACTGGGATGAGTATGTGAGCGGCTCACATTTGTCATTAACACTGCACAAGATCGGATCCGGGGGGATACCCCGTTTTATCTGATTCATGGGTGGGACCCGCGATCGACTTTGGAGGCTACGCTACCAGTGGGGAATACGGGGACACGAGCTCGCGATCCAAAGAGGTGGAGATACAAAATCCAAAGACAATACCAGCGAGCCCGATCTGTAGTGAACGATCGTTAACAAGCCGCAATCCAGGAGCGAGCGGATCGACACAACGAAGATCTGGAACCACACGAGATCGAAGTAGGAGCGCAAGTTTGGCTATACCTGGACCGAGTTAAAGAGGGATATGCGAAGAAGCTAGCGCACATGTGGCATGGGCCATTCCGAGTTGCGGACGTATGTGGAGATCATGCTGTAAAATTGGAGATCGCTGGAACCCCATATCGGTTATTTCCGATTGTACATATATCGAAGCTAAAAAGGTAAAGACGTTCCCTGAACGCCCGAAGGATCAGCTTACGATAGAGGAATCAGATCGCTTGGATTTCGATGAAGCTCTGCTGCCAGAAGACAGTTGGGATGGCGATCTTGAAGAAGGGGAATACGAAGTAGAGGCAATATTGGACGTGCGATCTGGTAGAAAAACCCGTTATGGGCGAGTACACCGGCAGTTTCTGGTGAAGTGGAAGGGATATCCCGATCTAAGTTGGGTGGACGAGGCCGATCTAAGTTGTGGGGCGATCTTGCAAGAGTTTGAGCGGAACCGAGTGAGTCGAAACCGTTTCGACGTAATGCAGTCTCATGAAGCCAAGTCGGACGAACCTTAACAATTCGAACAAGTATGCGGGAGGTAGCATATGCGGATGTAGGGGTTGAAAGATGTGCTAGACGGTAGCACATGCTGGTGGATGAGGTTTTTGTATGTGAGTATGGAGATAGTCAAGTGAATTACCTTCCTGAATGATGTGGAGCGATGAGGATCGAGATCGTGGAAGCTGCAAAGAATTGAAGTACCAAAAAAGAAGATGATTGAATGACTTACACGATTATGAAAGACGATCGGGCTTGGATATCGATCTTGGACTAAGACAATGGAGCAGGTTTGAACTTGTCCTGCAGACGAGGGATCTGCGATCCGGGATGATCCAATAGGCGTTACGGAACTGGTTGCGCCAAGGATCCTCTTGGTCTGCCATGTCCAACGCCTCTAGCAAGTCAGCTGGGTCGTAAGAGTGTCCTAACCCTGGATACCAAACTCGGTCTTCATGTGGGCGCGGATAGTGGAGGAAGAAGGGATCTAGCAAGATGTCGAGATCGCAGTGGCCAGCGATCATGCCGCTGAGTATCATCTTCAAGAAGTTCTTCCAACGCGCTCCAAAGCAAGAACGGCGTTGTTTTCGTTGGCGCCAGAATGTCTGCATGAACCGTTCAGATCGCCGTTGAGCCGGAGGAATCGGGAAAGCATGAGTGGATTCCCACAGAGCTTGTCGATGAGTGGACTCAAGCTCCAGGTACCGATGACTCATATCACGATACCACCCAGTCATGGTGAACGATATCGGGTTCACTGGGACTATGATATTATCCCAAGGGGCTGTAGCGTAAAGAGCCTCGATGTGTTGCCGCGAGATCAGCCCAGAAGCCCAAGTCCCCGTAGGCGGAGCTCGTCCATGATTGTAGAAGGGAAACAGAAAATTCCTGGGTTTGGAGCAGTGGTAAAACAACAGCTCAATGGTCATGGTCCTCACGCAAACCATCGCGATCTGCGAAACGGACCATGGAGCGATCTCGGAAGCTACCCGTCGGGAGGGCGCCAGATAGTTGGGAATCCACCGATCCCGTGGTTGCTGGAGTGGCGGAAGATTGTCGAAGTCCACGGAAGAGAAAACTCTGTTAGACACTTGGCGCGCCGGAAGGGTGATGCTGTGTTCGCTATCGGACGAATGGCGATCCGAAAGCGCAGTAGACTCCGGAGGCGGACTAACAGAGCCAGTCTCGCTGTGTGTCTCCCCTGTCGGCGATACCTCCACGTCTTCTACGCCGCCATTATCTTGAATTTCGACTACGGGGACAGCCGCGACCGGAGTGGATGGGTACGAAAGATAACGAGGCTTCGGAACGTCTGGAGAAGGCGAACGCAACAGTGCTTGAGCCAACGCAGTAGCTGCGGGAGAAGCGGGAACAACCCGAGCGGCCTGAGAGGGGTTCGGGGTCGAAGATCGGGCATCCGATCTAGGTTGACGACGAGCGGCCGATCTCGATTGGGATAATGCAGCACGAGTCAAATCATCCGAGCTAGAATCCGACTCGGTCAGCTCCTCACTTCCCGATCCAGTCCCAGAAGCCGCGGACGAAAGCGGAGAACAAGAAGAATTGGGTGGAGGCTCGGGTGGGGCCAATCCGGGAAGTTTGTTCAAAGGTATTGAAGGGTTCAACGACAATAGCCGGGAAGCCACATGGGCGGTGGAAGAATCACTGGATTGTGACCTTGGTTGATTACGCCGACGCTTGGCAGGCGGGCCGGACGATCTCGATCTGGACCTACGGGCAAGCGATCTCGATTCCGGGGTAGTGGGAGCAGGGGGCGATCCGGCCGGAGTAGCACTCTTAGGCGTCGATCGAGCGATCAACGCAGACGACCGGAATCCGAGTATAGCACTGTTCAGTGTGTCGAGGAGAGCACGGTGTTCAGCTATAGCCCGATCCCGATCGTGCTCCACCACCTGCAACTAGTCGTGTACCTAGAGGTGTTCCGCAAGCTGACGACGCAGGTTGGCGTTCTCCGCCTGCGAAAGTGCCAACTGACCCTCTAGGGGAGTCAAACCATCCACTTGTTGTATGAGATCGCTGATCGAAGACAGTCCATCTGCGATCTCCTCCTGAGACTGAGCCAATTGCTCCTTCAAGTGCAAAATATCTATGTGAAGGAAGGACCTGTCCATGGTCAGCTGATCACGCTGCTGTCGGAGAGAATTTAGTTCGGCTTGGAGCGAATGAAGTTGAGCCCTCAAAGCATCCACCTGTCGTTCCAAGTTCCCCTGAGTCTCGTCGTTGGCACGTATCAAAGTGCGTAGCCGACGAATCTCCTCCGATTGATCTCGATATGCCCGCAGAGCTCGATGGCAATCACTCAAAGAATGCACTGCGTCGACGTAGCGGCCCTGCATCCAGTCATATCGACGCTGGACGAAGGAGACAAAAGGAGCGGCTGATCTGTACAGCGAATCAAGCTCGTCTTGTAAGCGATTCCCCCGGGCGACGGCATCTCGGTAGGATTGCTGGAGCGTATGAATGGTGTCGGCTTGGCTGCAGAAGGTAGCCTCTCGATCCCACAAATACGAGATCGTGGCCATCGTGAGACGAACGTCGTCGGCAGAAACTCTGGAAACGAAGCCGGTGACGCCCACAGCTGGAGCAGACCTTTCACGAGGTTCATTAGAGGCCGGGATGTCGGATCTGGACGCGTCTGGGGCCGCCGGAGGAGTGGGAAGCGGGAGTGGCTCGGAGGAACGATCTGATAATTCCGCGGCGGTCGAGAGTGATCCGACCGATCTAGGATTACTGAGAGACTCATGTTGATCTGGGACGATAGGAGCATACCACCCGCGATCTGGCGATCTAGATGGCGAGTCTCGGGATGGAGACGAGGGTCTGGTCGGCTGTCGATATGGCGATCCTGTGGGGATTGTGGGCGATCCGGTTGTGCCTAGATGGCGCGTAGACCCAGGCCGATCGGGGACCGCTGGGGTGTGTCCTCCGAGATCTGGCGATCCGGGCGACAGGTCGCGATCCGGAGACAGAAACATGGTGGATCCTTCTGATGAGATCAGCGAGGTGGGTGGATGCGTCGGAGAGGCCATGAGACGGACTTGAGTGCTTGGAACGAAGTTGATGAGTGACTGTACTGTGGTCAATTGCTGTACAAAAGACTTCAGTACAGGGGGCGGTTGTGGCAAAGTCACTACTCAAATTTTGTACGAGGATCGGTGGCCACACCTTTAAAGCGCCGCTTACTGGTGGAAAAGGAGGCCATGAGACTCGGCGATCCAATACGGAGGTGGAAGATGATCTTAACGGGATCGGCGAACCGATCCAACTGTCGTTAGACTAATGGGTATGGATCGACCTGGGACGGAGCGATCTGGAACGATTTACATGGAACAATCTGGGACAAGGATCTGGGACCGGGTGATGGGATATGACTCTGCGACGAAGGTGTAACATCTTGCAGAATGTTATGGGGCGATCTGGAACCAGACGTCGGGATGAAGTCATACAGCTCATTGGAATACCGGTCAAGAAGAAGTATACGTACATTGAAGCAGGCTAAGATCAGATCGCAGATCGACATGTTGTGGCAACGGTTTGTTGGAGAATTGACACATCTGGGACAAGGTGACTC